CTGTTGGAGCAACTGAGAGAAGAAGCTGAGGGGAACCCATCACACAGCATAGAGGAAGGGTTCTGGAGAGAGGAATAAGGTGCTATTACTGCTTATTACGCCATCCGTAGATCTAACCAGCATTTAACACTTGCAGTGTCAGGAGGCCACAGTGCCCCCAGTTGGGCTTTGAGTTGAGACGCACAGCATTAATCGGAGCCAAAGTAGTCTCTGTAAGCCTGGAAGCTATGGCAGATGCCTGCAACTTCTCAGAGATAATATCACCAATTCCCAAGGAAAGTGGGGACAACCTACCAGGCTGTGAGGTCCTTAAGAAGGGCACTGCAGGCCACCCAGAACCGTTAGGGGATTGTAAAATGGTGGAACCTGAAACCGTGGGACTGCTCCCCTTGTGCTCGGGATCTGAAACGATTCACTTCTCGGCAGTAACAACATCACTCAATACCACGTGAAACCTTGAGTGCTCGGAAACCGGAGGTCAAACAGCCCGAGGTGACCAGGTCACTGCAGGAGTAAGTAAGGACTTGTGGATCTGCATGTCTCTTACACTTAGGAAGGTGATGAATGGAGTAAATAGAGCGCAGAGTGTGCGACACAACACTACACCTAGTGACTCAGCACTCGGTCCCTCCTAGTTTTATTGCTTTCCATGGCAAGCAACAGAAAAATGGAATAGTAATGGCTTCCAAAAGTCCTAAGAAAAGAAGTGTCTCTCAGTGCTCAGCATACTCATAAATGGGTACCTCAGAGACACGGCTCTGGACCTGGAGGGGGGTCTGCGGATAACTCACTCAAAGGGAAAGCACCAAAATGCAGAGCCCAGTCCATGAAGGTCACATTCCGGCCGGTCCTGGTCCAAAGGGGTACGGCCTCCAAAGCTGAGAATACGCCCACAGCTGTATGAAGAGACTTGGCCAAGCAGTGGGTGGAGTCTTCATCAAAGAAGAAAACCGATTACTAAATGGTTCAACCTTCCGGGAAAAGGCCTCTATCCTCCTAGGACACTAGTAAAAACTGAGGCATGTTGGGAGTGGGAGTGGTTTCATCAGGCGGGTCTCTGTTATTTTTGTTTGCTGGTGTCCAATTCTTCCTGTAGGTGGCAGTATAACCCCAATGTCCTGTGTCCCTCAATGAACAAGAAAGAAAATCACATTTACAGTTCTTATTCTTAGGGTGATTTTTAACTCATTCTTACCGGTCTTTGATGGTTCTTCTGGCTTAGGATCTCCTATAAAACAAGAGAAATATTTACCAATAAAATAAACGTAAATCATTACGTGGTGACGTCATCAATAGCATTAAAATGGAAGTTCGATCAAACCCCAACCAAGCTTCAGTCTCCTCCCACCCCATACTAAGTCTATTTTATCTACCCCTATGCTGAGGGCACTCCGGTCCGGTCACATGACCTGCGTCAGTGTAGAGGCAGTGACAACGGGTGCAGAGCCAGCGTGATGACGTCATCCATAGGCTTACTATGTGGCATCTATTGTTTGCTCTCCCTCCTCTGAAGCTGATGCTGGAGAGATCATGTGACCGGACCAGAGCGACTCCAGAATAGGCAAGTATAGCCATCTTCCCTTTCACAGGGCAGACATGCCTTGAATAGGGGTGGGAGTCCATGTAGGTATAGCTGGTGTTCATTGAACTTAACATGAGGGACCCCAACAGCACAGGACCCCCAAATCAGCCCCAAATAAATCCCATCCCCTCAGTGTCCTCAGGATGGGAGACCTGGGGGCCGGCCATAGTCTGAGGCCACAGCGACATGACAAAGTGGACCTGAGCTCAAAGATAAAGATTTGCCGTTTTATGGGTAATGTAAAGGGAGCGACTTTTGGGGGTGGGGGGACCCCTGTATCATCTCCCCAAATCATTATGTTTAACCCACCCTGTGCCTGTTAGGGGTACAGGGTGTGCATGTGAATGTCTTGTGTATAGTGTGTGTTCCTTTGTTCTCGGCCACATGGCTGTCCATTGTCTGTTTGCCATGTTCTACCCCCCATTGTGCTGTGTCTTCCTGTCCAGCCAACTATTATGGGATGTACTGTTTGTGTATTGGTGTGGGGGTTGGTCAATGTCTTTTGCCATGTGCTTCATCCCATTGTTCTGTGTCTTGGTTGGATGGGGAGGGGTGATGATGTATTTCCTGTTCCTGGTTGTGTTTCCCTGCCCTCTGTATATATCCTGTGTTTTGTGTTAAAATAAACAGAGTTGGCTTCCTGTATTAAGAAGAGCTGGGTGCGGTCTATTTCCTGAGGGATTTCAAGGGTGTGGTCCGTGGATGGTGTTCGGACAGGGAAGCTGCCGTATAACGGAATATACTCAAGAGTGGTCGGGTTCCGGTTCCGTTACAGGGAACATCAGGAAATGTTAACTGTAGATAAGCAGAGAAATCTGCCCTTTGGTTTGAACTCCTCCTTACAACCAGCAGCACACTTACTGGGCTCTTCCTGTTCTGTATCCTCATAGCTGTATATCTGCAGTGTGAGATCATCTAAGGCTCTGCTGCCTCTGACTGCTGGTCTCACTTCAGTGCTGCTTGCTGGAGGGGAAGCTGTACCTGAGGAACTCCCGTGCAAGGATATCTCTGCTTTTGCTTCACCCATTCTGTGGATCTATGCTTCCTCCACCTCTATCATTACCCCTCCAGCCATCAGATCAGCCGTCATCAGGGGGCTGAGGAAGCAAAGCCCTGCCTCTACCAAGATGGCTGCCTCCATGTAGACATTGTGCAGAACAAGGCATGGAGAGTCAGTAATGGAGAAAAAATCAGCTGCAGGGAGATCACAGGAGACAGTGATGGCCGGTCCGTTGTCCTCTGCTTTCACAACACAGGTCCTCTATAAGAACACCTTTCCCCTTGACTACTATTCCCTCTGTGATAACCAGCATGGCCAGCACCGTTCTCCTCCTCCTCCTGTCTGCATTCCACCGGAACATGGAGCGCCCCCTCTGGACATCCTCATCCCTGGACTCGTCTAATGAGTCCTCCACCTAATCCTATTGGCTGAGTGTGATCAGATGTACATGGAGCGTCCCCTCTGGACATCCCTATCCCTGGACTCATCTAATGAATCCACCACCTAATCCAATTGGCTGAGAGTGATCAGATGTAGATGGAGCACCCCCTCTGGACATCCCTATTCCGGACTCCTCTAATGAGTCCTCCACCTAATCCTATTGGCTGAGGGTGATCAGATGTAGATGGAGCGCCCCCTCTGGACATCCTCATCCCTGGACTCGTCTAATGAGTCCTCCACCTAATCCTATAGGCTGAGTGTGATTAGATGTACATGGAGCGTCCCCTCTGGACATCCCTATCCCTGGACTCATCTAATGAATCCACCACCTAATCCTATTGACTGAGAGTGATCAGATGTAGATGGAGCGCCCCCTCTGGACATCCCTATTCCGGACTCGTCTAATGAGTCCTCCACCTAATCCTATTTGCTGAGGGTGATCAGATGTAGATGGCGCCCCTTCTGGACATCCCTATCCCTGGACTCGTCCAATGAATGACATATGAACACATCATACATATGAAGGATACACGGGGATCTCACCTGTCAGGTGCAGAGTATATCTCTTCTCTCGGACGATCTTGGACTGACTGTGTGTCACCTCACACCGGATGGACGTTTTATCATCGGTCATCTTCGGGGTGAAGGCCAGCGTGCTGGAAGATTTATACAGACCGTCCGATCCGATCTCTGGATCCAATATTGTCACCTCAGATTGGGGGAAGGTGCTGAACTCCTTAAACCATTTTTATTTGTAGGTCTCGGGGGGAGAATCCGGATATTGTTACCTTGAATGAGGCTTTCTGATTGGCTGCCACACTCATTGGATGGACGATAATGTCCGATAATGTGGGCGGTCTCTCTGTAATGATAAATACAGACGTTTGTTATTCTGTGTATGGAGTGTAGAGAGATACGATGGAAGGATAGAAGATTCCGCTCATCAGAGGTCCTCCATGACCACATCTCATGGAAGGATAAAGTCCATTCATCTGACTGAGGAACCCGTCCTGGAGAGGAGCCGTGTCCCCGGGAATGGATGCCAGGAATCCGGACACAAGGCTACCATCTCCACCTATCCGTGTCACCACACAGAACTTCCCAGAATTCTGACCGACTTCAGTGGATCTTCGGAAAACTTGGCAGAGAAGTCATAATGAACACAGAAGTCTGCACTTCATACACAGGGCCGGTGCTTCCACTAGGAAAACCAGGCGGCCACCTAGGGGCGCCTGGGGCAGCAGCACTGCCCGGCACTCTCTGTGTGAGGGATGCCAGCACATCATGAATGATCCTCCAGCTGAGGGGAGGAATAAATGATAGAGAAAGATACCGGGTGTCTGGAGCCACTTTAGCAGCTGAGCTGCTGCTCCTACCAGTGTTCCTCTCAGACTCAGTCCCTTAGGCTGCATTCATACTTGAGCGTTTTGTAGCTTGAAGCTCGAAGCTCCAAAAACACTCAAACTTAAAAAACCAGTTGCTCTCTATGGTGCCCGTTCATGCGATCAGGTGTGAACAGGCACCATAGAGAACAATTGATTTTCTAAGTTGGAACTTTTTTGGAGCTTCGAGCTACAAAACGGTCAGTTGTGAATGCGGCCTTACTGGCGGCCAATGATCACTGCCATTCCAGAGCCACTAAAATGGTATGTCTCAGATCGGCTGGTCACACGGGATAGAAGGGGTCTTCGCTTCCTGTACATGACAGCCCGGTCATGTATGACCTTGATCCAGTCACTATTGTCTTCCACATTCTAATATAGAATCAATAGTAATATAAAAGATTCCCAATCAGTGTACATATATGACAGGTCTGTGTGAAAGGTACACTGGAATATCTGCAGCTATGTGGTATACTGGCAATGATGGTGATCAGCGACTTGTATGGGACTGTGATAATGTGGCGGGCAATCTGGCACTAACAGACACTGGGGTGAGAGAATAACTGACACTTACAGTTTTTTTGTGTGTGTGTGGGGTTTGTGTTTTGATGTGGTGTGTGTTGTGTTTTGTGTGTGATGTTGGTGTGTGGTTTTTGTTTGTTGTGTGATGTGTTTGTGTGTGGTTTGGTTTTTTGGGTTTTGTGGTGTGTGTGTGGGTTTGGGGGGTGTTTTGTATGTTTTTTGATTTTTTTTGTTTGGATGTGGGTTGGGGTTTGTTTGTTTGTGTGATGTTTTTTTGGGGGGGTGGGGTTTGTGTGGTGTGTGGGTGTGTGGTGTGTTTTGTGTTTGTGTGGGTGGTTGTTTGGGTTGTGTTTTGGGTGTTTGTGTGTGTGTTTGTGTGTGTGTGGGTTTTTGTTTGGTGTGTGTTGGGTGTTGTTTTTTGTGTGATTTGGTGTGTTTGTTGGGGTGTGTTGTTTTTGTGTGTTGTGTGTGTGATGTTTTTTGGTGTTTTTGTGTGTTGATGTGTTTGGGGTGTGTTTTGTGTGATGTTGGGTGTGATGTGGGGGTGTGTTTTGTTGTTTGTTGTTGTTGGTGTGGTGTGTGTTGTTGATGGGGTGATGTGGTGGTGTTTGATGGTGTGTGTGATGTGTTTTGTGTGATGTACGGTGTGTGATTTGTGATGTTTGGTGTTGTGTTTTTTGTGTGTGTATGATGTGTGTGTTTTTTGTGGGGTGTGTGTGTGTGTGATGTTGGGTGGTGGTTTTTTGGGGTTTTGGTGGTGGGTGTTGTGTGTGTGTGATGTGTTTGTGTGTGGGGTGTGTGTGTTGGGGGGGGTGATTTGTGGTGTTAATGTGTTGGTGTTGTGTGTATTGTGTGTGATGTTTGTTATGTGTTTTTTGTATGTGTGGGTTGTGTGTGTGTATGTATGTGTGTGATGTTTGGTGTGTGTGTGTTGTGGTGTGTGATGTGATGGGTGTGTGATGGTGATGTGGGTGTGTGTGTGTGTGTGTGGGGTGTTTTGTTTGGTGTGTGATGTTGGTATGTTGTTGTGTATTGTGGGTGTGTGTGTGGTGATGTGTGATGTGTGGTGTGGGTTGTGTGTTGATGTGTGTGTGTGGGTGTTGGTGTGTGTGTGGGGTGTGTGTGTATGTTTTTGTTGTTGGGTGGTGGTGTGATGTTGATGTGTGTGTTTGTGGTGTGTGTTTGGTGGGGTTGTGTGTGTGTGTGTTGGTTTTGGGGTGTGTGGGTGTGTTTGGTGTGTGATGGGGGGTTTTGTGTGTGTACGGTGTGTTGTGGGTGTGTGATGGGTACGGTGTGTGATGTGGTGGTGGTGTGTGATGTTACGGTGTGTTTTAGGTTGTGTGTGTGTTGTTGTTGGGTTTTTTGGTGTGGGTTTTACGTTTTGTGATGGGGTGTTTGGTTGTTGATGTTTTTTTGTTGTGTGTGATGTGTGTGATGTGGTGTGTGTGTGTGTGGTTTGTTTTTTTGGGTTTGTGATTTTTACGGTGTTGTGATGTGGTGTGTGGGGGTGGGGTTTTTGTGGTGTGTTTTGTGTTTTGTTGATGGTTGATTGTGATGTTGGTGTGTGTTGTTTTGGTGTGTGTTGTTTGTGTGTGTGTTGTGTGTGTGGTGTGTGGAGGGGTGGGTGTTTTGTTGTGTGTGTGGGGGGGGGTGTGTGATGTGGGGGTGTGGGTTTGGGGGGTGGTGTGTGTGGGTTTGGGTTTGTTTGTGTGTTACGTTTTTGTGTGTTGGGGTTTGTGTGATGTACGATGTTGTTGTGTGGTGGGGTTGGTGGTGTGTGGGTTGGGGGTTTTTGTGGTGTGTGTGGTGTGGATTTTAGGTTTCTTTTTGGGTGTGGGTGTGTGATGTGTGTGGTGTGTTGTATGTTTGTTGTGTGTGTGGGTTTTGGTGGATTTGGTGTGTGGTGTTGTGTGTGATGTGGGTGTGTGATGTGGGGTGTGTTTTTGTACGGTGTGTGATGGGGGGTGTTTTTTTGTTGTGTTTGTTTTTTGGGGTTGTTTTTGGGTGTGTGATGTACGATGTGTGGGGTTTGTGTGGTGTGTGATTGTTCGGGGTATTGTGGATGTGTGTTGTGTTTTTGATTGTGTGTGATGTACGGTGTGTTTTTTTTTTTTTGGTGTTTGTGGTGTTTTTTTTGTGGGGTGTGTGGGTTTTTTGTGTGTGTGGTTTGTGTGGTGTTGTTGTGTGTGTGTGGTTGTGGGTGTGGATGTGTTGGGTTGTGTGTGTGTTTGTGTGTGTGATGTTGTGTGTGTGATTTACGGGTGGTGTGTGGGGTTGTTGGTGTTGGTGTGTTTAGGGTTTGTGTGTTTGGTGTGGGTTGTGTGTGTGATGTTTTGGTGGGGTGTGTGTTTTTTGTGTGATGTTTGGGTTTTTGTGTGTATTGATGTGTGGGGTTTTGTGTGTTGTGGTGTGTGATGTTGGTGTGTTGTGTTGTTGTGGGTGTTGTGTTGTGTGGGTGTGTGTTTTTTTGTTTGGTGTGTGTGTTGTGTGTGTGTGGGTTGGGTTGGGGGGGGGGGTGTGTTTGTGGGGTGTGTGATGGGTATTTTGTGGTGTGTTTTGTGTGTGTGTGTGGTTTGTGGTGTGATGTGTGTGGTGGGTGGGGGTGGGTGTTTTGTTTATGGTGTGTGTTTTTTGTTGTGTTGGTGTGGTTTGGTGGTGGGGGTGTGTGATGGGGTGTTGTGTATGTTGATGTGGGTGTGTTGTGTGTGGGGGGTGTTTTTGTGCGGTGTGGGATGTGTGGGGTGATGTTTTTTTGTTGTGAGTGATGTTTTTGGGGGGGTGGGTTGTGGTGATGTATGATGGTTGGGTGGGTGGTGTTGTGTTTGGTGTTTTTTTTGTGGTGATGTGGGTGTGGGGGATTTGGGTGGTGGTTTGTGGGGGGTGGTTTGGTATTTTGTTTGTGGTGTTGATTTGGGTGTGTGTTTTTTTGTGTTTGTGGGGGTTTGTTGTGGTGTGTTTGGGTTGTTGTGTTGATGGGTGGTGATGTTGGGTTTGATGTGTTTTGATGTGTGTGTGTTTGTTTGTGGGTTTGTGTGATGTGTGGTGTGGGATGTTTGGGTTGGGGGGTTGTGTGTGTTGTGTTTGTGTGATGGGGGTGTTAATGTGTGTTGTGTGGTTGTGTGTTTTACGGTGTGTGTGTGTGTTTTGTGGGGGGGTGTGTTGGGGGTTTGTGTGTGTGTGTGTTTGTTGTGTTTTGTGTTGTGTGTGTGTGTTTGTGGTGTGTGGCGGTGTTGTGTGTGGGTGGGGAGGGTTTATGTTGTTGTATGTGTGGTGTGTGATGTTGGGTGTGTGTGTGGGTGTGTGTGTGGGGTGTTGGTGTGTGTGTTGTGTTGGTGTGTGATGTTGTGTGTGTGATGTATGTGTACGTTTTGTGTGTTTGTGGTTTGTTTGTTTGTTTGTTTATGTTGGTTTGTGTGATTTTGAGTGTGGGTTTGGATGTGTGGTGTGTGTGATGTTTTGTGTTGGGGTTTTGGTTTATGTGTGTTTGATGTGGGTTGTTGGTTGTGTGTGTTGTTTGTTGTGTTTTGGTTGTGTGATGTGGTGTGTTTGATGGGGGTTGGTGTTTTTTGTGTGATGTATGTGTGTGATGGTGGGTGTGTGTGGTTGATGTTGGTTTTGTGTTTGGGTGTATGATGTGTTTTGTGGGTTTGTGTTGATGTGTGATGTGTTGTTGTATGGATTGTGGTAATTTGTGAGGTTGTGTTTTTGTGTGTGTGTGATGTTGGATGTTGATGGGGGGGTGATGGTGATGTGTTGTTGTGTTTTTTTTTGATTTGTATGGAATGTTTTGATTTTGTGTTTTGTTGGTTTTTGTTGTGTGATGTGATGTGGGGTTGTTGATGTGTTTTGTGTGATGTTATGTGTTGATGTTGTGTGATGTGTATGTGATGTTTTTTTTGGGTGTGTGGTGTTGGATGTGGTTTGTAGGTGTGTTGTTTTGTGGGTGTTTTTATGTGTGTGTGTTGATTGTGTGTGATGTGGGTGTTTGTTTTTTTTGGGGTTGTTGTATGTTTTTTGTGTTGGTGTTTTTGTTGATGTTTTGATGTGGTGTGTGTGTATGATGGTTGTTGTATGTATTTTTTGGTGTTGGTGTTGTACGATGTGTTTGATGTTGGGGATTGGTTGATTGATGTTGATGTGTGTGGATGTTTGGGGTGTGTGAGGTTTTGTGTTTTTTTTTTGTGTGTGTGTGTTATGTATGGTGTGTTGTGGCATTGTTGGGGCTTCTTGCTGGCCTGACATATGTTGGGGGTTGTTGCTGGCCCTGACATATGTTGGGGGTTGTTGCTGGCCCTGACATATGTTGGGGGTTGTTGCTGGCCCTGACATATGTGGGGGTTGTTGCTGGCTGACATATGTTGGGGGGTTGTTGCTGGCCCTGACATATGCTGGGGGTTGTTGCTGTCCCTGACATATGTTGGGGGTTGTTGCTGGCCCTGACATATGTTGGGGGTTGTTGCTGGCCCTGACATATGTTGGGGGTTCTTGCTGGCCTGACATATGTTGGGGGTTGTTGCTGGTCCTGACATATGTTGGGGGTTGTTGCTGTCCCTGACATATGTTGGGGGTTGTTGCTGGCCCTGACATATGTTGGGGGTTGTTGCTGGCCCTGACATATGTTGGGGGTTGTTGCTGGCCCTGACATATGTTGGGGGTTGTTGCTGGCCCTGACATATGTTGGGGGTTGTTGCTGGCCCTGACATATGTTGGGGGTTGTTGCTGGCCCTGACATATGTTGGGGGTTGTTGCTGGCCCTGACATATGTTGGGGGTTGTTGCTGGCCCTGACATATGTTGGGGGTTGTTGCTGGCCCTGGACATATGTTAGGGGTTGTTGCTGGCCCTGACATATGTTGGGGGTTGTTGCTGGCCCTGACATATGCTGGGGGTTGTTGCTGGCCCTGGCACTTGTTGGGGGTTGTTGCTGGCCCTGACATATGCTGGGGGTTGTTGCTTGTCCTGACATATGTTGGGGGTTGTTGCTGGCCCTGACATATGTTGGGGGTTGTTGCTGGCCCTGACATATGTTGGGGTTGTTGCTGGCCCTGACATATGTTGGGGGGTTTGTTGCTGGCCCTGACATATGTTGGGGGTTGTTGCTGGCCTGACATATGTTGGGGGTTGTTGCTGGCCCTGACATATGTTGGGGGTTGTTGCTCGCCCTGACATATGTTGGGGGTTGTTGCTGGCCCTGACATATGTTGGGGTTTTTGCTGGCCCTGACATATGTTGGGGGGTTTTTGCTGGCCCTGACATATGCTGGGGTTGTTGCTGGCCCTGACATATGCTGGGGGTTGTTGCTGGCCCTGACATATGCTGGGGGTTGTTGCTGGCCCGACATATGTTGGGGGTTGTTGCTTCCTGACATATGCTGGGGGGTTGTTGCTGGTCCTGACATATGCTGGGGGTTGTTGCTGGCCCTGACATATGTTGGGGGTTGTTGCTGGCCCTGACATATGTTGGGGGTTGTTGCTGGCCCTGACATATGCTGGGGGTTGTTGCTGGCCTGGCACTTCTTGGGGATTGTTGCTGGCCCTGGCACTTCTTGGGGATTGTTGCTGGCCCTGGCACTTCTTGGGGGTTGTTGCTGGCCCTGGCACTTCTTGGGGGTTGATGCTGGCACTTGTTGGGGTTTGTTGCTGGCCCTGGCACTTATTGGGGGTTGTTGCTGGCCCTGGCTCTTGTTGGGGGTTGTTGCTGGCCCTGGCACTTATTGGGGGTTGTTGCTGGCCCTGGCTCTTGTTTGGGGGTTGTTGCTGGCCCTGGCTCTTTTGGGGGTTGTTGCTGGGCCCTGGCTCTTGTTGGGGGTTGTTGCTGGCCCTGACATATGTTGGGGGTTGTTGCTGGCCCTGACATATGCAGGGGGTTGTTGCTGACCCTGACATATGCTGGGGGTTGTTGCTGGCCCTGACATATGCTGGGGGTTGTTGCTGGCCCTAACATATGTTGGGGGTTGTTGCTGGCCCCTGACATATGTTGGGGGTTGATGCTGGCCCAGGCACTTGTTGCAGCTTATCATTGCTGTTCCCTATTGGGCTCATTATTCTAAAAAGGCCATTTTTTCACCTGTACAAAGGGGGAAGTGACATACTTGGCCCACTCCCAACTTTGGCCACAGCCAGAAGAGGTACAGCAGGCAGCGTGCTGCCACATGCCCCATCACCTCCCCTACTTATACTACCAGACCCGATGGTGTGGAGGCTCCCCCGCACTCACTACAGAGGGAGGAGTTTTCTGTGCCCCCATTTCCTTCCCTTACCTGGGAGCCTCAGGTGCAGGTTTTTGGCACTAGAATGTTCCATGTTTCTGTGCGTCACAGTGCAGGTATAGACCCGCCCACTATTCTCAGCTGTCGGTGTGAAGGTCAGAGAACAGGACAGAACGTCTCCGCTGCCTCGGGTCACTCTCTGCTGGTGTTTCCCCAGATCTCTTCCACTCTCTGACCAGGTGACCTCAGGGGTGTGTCTGGGATCACAGCCAACCACATCGCAGCGCAGAGTCAGAGACTTTCCATAATCCGGTATACGGGGATCACTGGAGATCTCACTGAGAACTGGGACCCCTGAGGAGGAAGAACATGAAATGGGCACATCAGTCTCTGCACCAGAGGAGCTTTACTTCTGCCCCCCAGGTATGCCTCCGCCCCCATCCTCCCCAGGTATGCCTCGCCCCCCCCCCCTCCCCGGGATATGCCTCCGCCCCCCCCCCCTGGGGATATGCCTCCGCCCCCCCCTCCCTGGGATATTCCTCCGCCCCCCCCTTGGGGTATGCCTCCGCCCCCCCCCACGAGATATGCCTCTGCCCCCCCTCCCCGGGATATGCCTCCGCCCCCCCCCTCCCTGGGATATTGCCCTCCGCCCCCCCCTTGGGGTATGCCTCCGCCCCCCCCACGAGATATGCCTCTGCCCCCCCTCCCCGGGATATGCCTCCGCCCCCCCCTCCCTGGGATATTTCTCTCCGCCCCCCCCCTTGGGGTATGCCTCCGCCCCCCCCCCCCCCCACGAGATATGCCTCCGCCCACCCCCCCCCCCCTGAGGATATGCCTCCCCCCCCGGGATATGCCTCCGCCCCCCCCCCCCCTGGGATATTCCTCACCCCCCCCCCCCACGGGGTGTGCCTCCACCCCCCCTCCCCGGGATATGTCCCCCCCCCCCGAGGATATGCCTCCGCCCCCCCCCTCCCCGGGATATGCCTCCGCCCCCCCCTCCGGGAAATGCTTCCGTCCCCCCCCTCCCTGGGATATGCCCCCCCCCCCCCTGGGTATGCGTCCGCTCCCCTCCCCAGGGTATGCCTCCGCTCCCTCCCCCCTCCCCAGGGTATACTTCTGCTCCCGCCCCCCTCCCCGGGATATACCTTCGCCCCCCCTCCCCAGGATATGCCTCCGCTCCCCCCTCCCAGGGTATACTTCTGCTCCCCCCTCCCCGGGGTATGCCTCCGCTCCCCTCCCCGGGATATGCCTCCGCCCCCCCTCCCCGGGATATGCCTCCGCCCCCCCTCCCCGGGGTATGCCTCCGCTCCCCTCCCCAGGGTATGCCTCCGGCCCCCCCCCCCCTCCCCAGGGTATGCCTCCGTCTCCCCCCCTCCCCGGGATATGCCTCCACTCCCCCCCCTCCCCAGGGTATGCCTCCGCTCCCCTCCCCAGGGTATGCCTCCGGCCCCCCCCCTCCCCAGGGTATGCCTCCGCCCCCCCCCCCCCCCCCCGAGGGTATGCCTCCGCTCCCCCCTCCCTGGGGTATACTTCTGCCCCCCCCCTCCCCAAGGTATACTTCTGCCCCCCCACCCCAGGGTATACTTCCACCATCCCTCCCCCCTCCTTGGGGTATACTTCTGCCCCCCCCCTTCCCAGGGTATACCTCCACCCACCCTCCCGGGGTATGCCTCCATGCCCCCCCCCTTGCCGGGGTATACTTCAGGCCCCCCTTTCCGGGGTATACTTCCACCCCCCCTCCCTGGGGTATACTTCCACCCCCCCCCCCCCTTCCCGGGGTATACTTCCGCCCCCCCTCCCCGGGGTATACCTCAGCCCCCCCCTTCCTGGGATATGCCTCCCCTTACCGGGGTATATTTTCACCCCCCCCTCCCCCAGTGTACATTCCCCCTCCCCCAGTGTACATCATCCATGGTCTGGAAGGAGAGCGGAGCTCAGATTACCTTTCAGGTGTAGCGGATATTCTTTGATGAAGGTCTTCCCCCCATGTGTGACCTCCAGGCGGATGGGGACGCCGTGTTCCTCCAACGTGGGGAGTGAGTGTCAGCTCTGTGGTTCCGGAGAACAACCTGGACTGGGGATCTTCCTGGATGTGGTCCTTCCATTTCTCGTCGGTATATTTGGTGAGTGCGCCGGTACCACTGAATGGTGGGATCTCCGGGGTACATGTTACTGATTCTGCAGGACAACGTCACCGTCTGCCCCAACTCAGGGGGTCCGGGGGAGCACTGTATGGGGTCCAGGGTGGGCGGAGAGACTGCAATATACAGGAACCGCAAGTTATACGCAGAGACATTCACAGAAAGAAGAGAGATACGCAGAGAGAGACGCAGAGACATACACAGAGATATGCAGAGAGAGACACAGATACGCAGAGAAATGCGCAGAGAATACGCAGAGAGAGACACAGAGATGCGCAGAGAGAGACACAGAGATGCGCAGAGAGAGACACAGAGAAACGCAGAGAGAGACACAGAGAAACGCAGAGAGAGACACAGAGATACGCAGAGACACACACAGAGATACGCAGAGAGAGACACAGAGATACGCAGAGACACACACACAGATACGCAGAGAGAGACACAGAGATACGCAGAGAGAGACACAGAGATAACGCAGAGACACACACAGAGATATGCAGAGAGAGACACAGATACGGCAGAGAAATGCGCAGAGATACGCAGAGAGAGACACAGAGATGCGCAGAGAGAGACACAGAGATGCGCAGAGAGAGACACAGAGAAACGCAGAGAGAGACACAGAGAAACGCAGAGAGAGACACAGAGATAAGCAGAGACACACACAGAGATACGCAGAGAGAGACACAGAGATACGCAGAGACACACACACAGATACGCAGAGAGAGACACAGAGATATGCAGAGAGAGACACAGAGATACGCAGAGACACACACAGAGATATGCAGAGAGAGACAAGACAGATACGCAGAGAAATGCGCAGAGATACGCAGAGAGAGACACAGAGATGCGCAGAGAGAGAGACACAGAGATGCGCAGAGAGAGACACAGAGATGCGCAGAGACACACACAGAGAAACGCAGAGAGAGACACAGAGATACGCAGAGAGAGAACACAGAGATACGAAGACACACACAGAGATACGCAGAGACACACGCAGAGAGAGACGCAGAAGATGGCGCAGAGACACACACAGAGAACGCAGAGAGAGACACAGAGATAACGGCAGAGAGAGACACAGAGATAAACGAGAGAGAGACACAGAGATACGCAGAGAGAGACACAGAGATACGCAGAGAGAGACACAGAGAAACGCAGAGAGAGACACAGAGATAACGCAGAGAGAGACACAGAGATACGCAGAGACACACACAGAGATACGCAGAGACACACGCAGAGAGAGACACAGAGACATGCAGAAGAGACACAGAGACACGCAGAGAGAGACACAGAGACAGACGCAGAGAGAGACACACAGAGACAGCAGACAGAGACACGCAGAGAGAGAGATACAGAGACACGCAGAGAGAGATACAGAGACACGCAGAGAGAGATACAGAGACAACGCGAGAGAGAGATACAGAGACACGCAGAGAGAGATGCAGAGACACGCAGAGAGAGATACAGAGACACGCAGAGAGAGACACAGAGACACGCAGAGAAGAGATGCAGAGACATACACAGAGAGAGACACAAGAGAGACATACGCAGAAAGAGACGCAGAGACATACGCAGAGAGAGACACAGACACACGCAGACATACGCAGAGAAAGACACGGCAGACATACACAGAGAGAAAGAGATATACGCAGAGACATACACAAGAGACATACACAGAGAGAGACACATACAGACATACGCAAAAAGAGACGCAGAGACATACGCAGAGAGAAATGCAGAGACGTACGCAGAGAGAAACAGAGACGTAAGCAGAGGGAGACACAGAGAGACATACGCAATGCGCAGAAGAGACACAGAGACATACGCAGAGAGATACGCAGAGACATACGCAGAGTTATACACAGAGAAGATTTCATGCAGAAGATATGTAAGACGCACACAGAGACATACGCAGAGACATACACAAGAGATACGCAGGCACCCCGCCTCACTGTAGTTGTGTCATCCAGAATCAATAATACTCATCGCCCTTTGGACAGATCTGACCTAGGACAGTCTACTGCGCTGCCATCTAGAGTTTGTAGACAGAAAATGCATCAGGGAAGAAATGACCCTGGAAAGGGGAGATTTCCCGCGGGGAGCAGTGATAATAGACAAGCAGAGATAATAAACAGCAGAGATAACAAGACGAGCAGAGATAACAGAGCGAGCAGAGATACAATACATAAGAAGGTGAGCAGAGATAATAGGACGAGCAGAGATAACAGGGCAAAGATAACAGAAGAGCAGTGATAACAGAAGAGCAGAGATAACAGAGGCAGAGATAACAGAAGAGAGTGATAACAGGCGAGCAGAGATAACAGGCGTCAGAGATAACAGACGAGCAGAGATAACAGAAGAAAGTGATAACAGGCGAGCAGAGATAACAGTCAGAGATAACAGGAGTCAGAGATAACAGGCGAGCAGTGATAATAGACGAGCAGTGATATCAGGCGAGCAGAGATAATAGATGAGCAGAGATAACAGGCGAGCAGTGATAGACGAGCAGAGATAATAGGCGAGCAGAGATAAATAGGGGAGAGAAGAGATAACAGGGGAGCAGAGATAACAGTAGTCAGAGATACACAGGCCTCAGATGATAACAGTGAGCAGAGATAACAGGCATCAGTGATAACAGACGAGCAGAGATAACAGACGAGCAGAGATAAACAGACGAGCAGAGATAACAGGCGAGCACAGTGATAATAGGCGAGCAGTGATAATAGATGAGCAGAGATAACAGGCGTCAGAGATAACAGGCGAGCAGTGATAATAGATGAGCAGAGATAAACAGAGTCGAGCAGTGATAACAGACGAGCAGTGATAACAGACGAGCAGTGATAACAGGCGAGCAGAGATAACAGTAGTCAGAGATAACAGGCGTCAGAGATAACAGGCGAGCAGAGATAGACGAGCAGAGATAGTAGGCGAGCAGATAACAGATGAGCAGAGATAACAGGCGAGCAGAGGTAACACAGAGATGCGAGGCAGAGATAAATAGATGAGCAGAGATAACAGACAAGCAGAGATAACAGGCAGAGCAGAGTGATAACAGGCGAGCAGAGATAACAGACGAGCAGAGATAACAGAAGAGCAGTGATAACAGGCGAGCAGAGATAACAACAGAGATAACAGACGAGCAGAGATTAGAAAGCGTCAGTGATAACAGACGAGCAGTGATAACAGGCGAGCAGAGATAAGTAGTCAGAGATAACAGGAGCAGAGATAAACAGGCGAGCAGTGATAATAGACGAGCAGAGATAACAGGCGAGCAGAGATACAGGGATGAGCAGAGATAACAGGCGAGCAGAGGTAACAGTAGTCAGAGATGGCAGGCGTCAGAGATAATAGATGAGCAGAGATAACAAGGAAAAAGAGCAGAGATAACAGAGCGAGCAGAGATAACAGGCGAGCAGAGATAACAGACGAGCAGAGATAACAGACGAGCAGTGATTAAGGCGTCAGAGAGCAAGATAATAGGTGTCAGAGATAATAGGTGTCAGAGATAACAGGCGAGCAGAGATAACAGGCGAGCAGAGATAACAGACGAGCAGTGATAACAGACGAGCAGAGATAACAGACGAGCAGAGATAACAGACGAGCAGAGATAATAGACTAATAGGTGAGCAGAGAAAACAGACGAGCAGAGATAACAGGCGAGCAAAGATAACAGAAGAGCAGAGATAACAGACGAGCAGAGATAACAGAAGAGCAGTGATAACAGACGAGCAGAGATAACAGGCGTCAGAGATAACAGACGAGCAGTGATAACAGACGAGCAGAGATAACAGAAGAGCAGTGATAACAGGCGAGCAGAGATAACAGGCGTCAGAGATAATAACAGAGATAACAGGCGTCAGAGATAACAGGCGAGCAGTGATAATAGACGAGCAGAGATAACAGTGAGTCAGAGATAACAGTAGTCAGAGATAACAGGCGAGCAGAGATAACGAGCAGAGATAATAGGCGAGCAGTGATAACAGCGAGCAGAGATAACAGTATTCAGAGATAACAGTAGTCAGAGATAACAGGCATCAGAGATAACAGGCGAGCAGAGAGATAACAGGCGAGTAGAGATAACAGGCGAGCAGTGATAACAGGCGAGCAGAGATAACAGTAGTCAGAGATAACAGGCATCAGAGATAACACGAGCATCAGAGATAACAGGCGTCAGAGATAACAGACGAGCAGAGATAACAGAAGAGCAGTGATAACAGGCGAGCAGAGATAACAGGCGTCAGAGATAACAGGCGTCAGAGATAACAGGCGAGCAGAGATAATAGATGAGAGCAGAGATAAGCAGAGATAATGAGCAGAGATAACAGGGGAGCAGAGATAACAGGCGAGCAGAGGTAACAGTAGTCAGAGATGGCAGGCGTCAGAGATAATAGATGAGCAGAGATAATAGGCGAGCAGAGATAACAGGCGAGCAGAGATAAATAGGCGTCAGAGATAACAGACGAGCAGAGATAACAGGTGTCAGAGATAACAGACGAGCAGAGATAACAGGTGTCAGAGATAATAGGTGTCAGAGATAACAGGCGAGCAGAGATAACAGGCGAGCAGAGATAATAGACGAGCAGAGATAATAGACGAGCAGAGATAACAGGTGTCAGAGATAATAGACGAGCAGAGATAACAGGTGTCAGAGATAATAGGTGAGCACAGATAACAGGCGTCAGAGATAATAGACGAGCAGAGATAACAGGTGTCAGAGATAATAGGTGTCAGAGATAACAGGTGTCAGAGATAACAGATGAGCAGAGATAATAGACGAGCAGAGATAACAGGTGTCAGAGATAAGAGGCGTCAGAGATAACAGGCGAGCAGAGATAACATGTCAGCAGATAACAGGCAGGCAAAGATAACAGGTGAGCAGAGATAACAGGTGAGCAGAGATAACAGGTGAGCAGAGATAATAGACGAGCAGAGATAACAGGCATCAGAGATAACAGGTGAGCAGAGATAATAGACGAGCAGAGATAACAGGTGTCAGAGATAAGAGGCGTCAGAGATAACAGGTGTCAGAGATAATAGGCATCAGAGATAATAGATGAGCAGAGATAACAGTAGTCAGAGATAACAGACGAGCAGAGATAACAGACGAGCAGAGATAACA